GTTCTTGTATTTGCGCTTATTTTCAAGTAAATGGTAACTTTACATATCTTTACATATGACTGTATCCCTTTAAAAAATGAAATCATATCAGTAGGTAGGAATAGAATAAATAATCTGAACATCGAATGAGTAATCAGGGAATCGAATAAGTAATCAGGGAATCGAATAAGTAATGAGCACTTAGTATGGAAGTGAAAGGTTAAATAGATCAACAAAGTACGTAATAATGCAGTTTGAACCATCTTTTGTGTTGATAAGTAAGAAGGAATCGAATAGGTAATGAGGGAATTGAATAAGTAACCAGGAAATTGAATAAGTAATCAGTGAATCAAATAAGTAATGAGCACTTATTATGTAAGTGAAAGATTAAATAGATCATCGAAGTGCTTAATAATATATTTTGAACCATTTCTTGTGTTAATTAGTAAGTAGGAATCGAATAAGTAATCAGGGAATTGAATAAGTAATGGAATAAGGAACTAGGAACTAGGAATCAACTTCATGGAGGTAGTTAAAAATGAGTTACGGTCACATATATTAGCATCTCATTGCTACATGTATCATATGGGTTGTTCGAGTAACGGTATATGTATTGACTGAACACGTCAAGGCAAAGGAAACACTTTGAACCTTTGAATTGGATAGTACATATGTTTTATATAGCGTGGGTTGACTTTGTATCACTGATTAGCTTGTATTGCAGAGGAATGAGAGTGTGAAGGGTACCAAAATGTAATGGCATTGTTCTAGATACAAAAATGTATCATAAATGCAAAAAAGCAGCGAAACGCATTTTAAAGTAAATCTCTAATCCAAATGGCGTTTAAACTTTTCACAAACTGCACAAACCATTTCACCTTTAATCTGACTCGTTCATGTAACAGACAAAAAACCCCAATATATTCTTTGTACGAGTCATTGGTATCCTGTGTTAGACTTAGTTATCAATCTATTTACAACATTTGTTTGATTTTGTAATGTACTAATGTTTTCACTGATCTGAGTTTAGTGTTTTATGTCTTGTTTATTGATGTTAATCAAACGACTTTATTTCTCTTTAAAAAGTCGCCGTTTGTTGATAAATGCTTTGGCGTCCGAAGGCTGACAGAGAAGGAATCAGCTATACATCCAGACAATCGGTAATTCCTTGTTTCATACGTAACTTCACATAGAAAGTACATAGTGTAATAAAAGCGGAAGGGAAGGTACATCTGATTTGCTACAATTCTGATCAAACTTTTTAATGTTGTGCAAAACCAACTTTTACTAGTGTATTTACTATAACATGTTCTTCCTGATACACTTGACTTGTTTCGCTTCAAATTTGTATTGATGTTGTTTTAACAAGGACAGGACAAACACTGACAACGATGATGATTGACGTCAAAGCCTACCTCCCGTGGCTGATGAAAAGGTTAACCTTCTTTATTTTCTATTGTCTTAAAAGACATGCTTTCGTTTCATATCATGCTAACAAAATAAGTGCACGCCATTATAAAGAAGCAAATAACGCCGTGCCTTAAACTTTCAGATTTCAGGCAAACGGTGGCATTATACAGAAACGAAAGATATCGTCGTTGGATGAGGTACGTACGTACCCATGGATGTATATGAAACCAATGTTTAATAGAAAAGGAGATGGCTAGAGGATCTGTTAATGGAATATATGCCTGATTTTGGAGTTAAGATTAAAATGTACGCTTTCATATATCTGAAGACGTAAACAAAACATATGTAAAATAAAAATCCTTTAGAAACAATATGACGAGTATGAATAAGTTCATCAATTCGAAAAGCAAACGTAGCTTCTTAGCTGATCGACTGTTGTAAAATACACATTATTTTTTAGCTCACCTCTCACTACGATGTAGTGGTCAACTGCACTGGACTAGAATCATATCACCTGATCGGTGACCACGACCTCCGGCCAGTCAGGGGTCAAGTATTCAGGGTAAGACCGTCAGTTATTCTGCGATACATATATCTGGTTGTTCCGTAACATCAGTGTTGTAGTCTTTATTTCTATTGGCTTAAATCCGAGAAAGGGTTATTTTTCAGTGACAAAAGTCTCATTATTAAAAGAATAAATACCAATAATTGCTATCAAACCGTCTACATAAAACAAAATGATACTTCACGATGAAATGTTAAAATTAAGGCTGTAACGGATAACATGTTCAGTATTATCTCACTATGAATCGTTAAAATTAGAGATCTATAAAAAAAAATTTAAAATAGAACAATATCTTCTCTACGGACGCATGATTTAATAGATTTCTATTTTCTAAGGTACATTCATATTCATCATGTGGTGGTATGATAAGAAAGAAAAGGAAAAAAGCAAATCTAGTAGTATATAATTACAAATATAAACTTAATACTCGCTATGTGAAGAGTAACTGTTTACAAAGTCACGTACATACAATGTAGTTTGTTTGTTGCTAGGTAACATGGTATTCCTACTGATATATCGCTTCATTGCAGGTGCATGCTCCCTGGATAAAACATTTTTACATCGATATTGACCCTTCTAATCCGGACAACGAGATTTACGTACTTCCAGGGTAAATATCGAGTGATGAGAGGGAGGCTCTGAATTTGTCTAAAACATTTGTTCAGCATTATCGCCATTTTGATTAAATATCGCAAATATTGAGTTTTCAAAAGAACTTTATGGTATATATTTCACGGTGCAGACTTTCTTTCATCTGCATCCATTTTCGGGTCTTCGTTTGATCGACAGAATGAAGCAATGAAACCATGAAGACATATATTTCTCAAACTGAATGCCGTGTACGGGCAATGTTGTTGATTTTGAAAGATACGGGCCTTCACCGGAATCATACCTTGTTTGCTATGTTACTATTTCAAAAGTAGTGGTTTAGGTAAAACACAAACAGTAGTAGTGTAGGTAAGACACAAACAGTAGTAGTGTAGGTAAAACACAAACAGTAGTAGTGTAGGTAAAACACGAACAGTAGTAGTGTAGGTAAAATACAAACAGCAGTAGTGTAGATAAAACACAAACAGAAGAAGAGTAGGTAAAACACGAACAGTAGTAGTGTAGGTAAAAAACAAACAGTAGTAGTGTAGGTATCACACAAACAGTAGTAGTGTAGTGTAGGTAAGACACAAACAGTAGTAGTGTCGGTAAAACACAAACAGTAGAAGTATAGGTAAAACACAAACAGTGGTAGTATAGGTAAAACACAAACAGTAATAGTGTAGGTAAAACACAAGCAGTAGTAGTGTAGGTAAAGCACAGACAGTAGTAATGTAGCTAAAACACAAACAATAGTAGTATAAGTAAAACACAAACAATAGTAGTAAAGACAAAACACAAACAGTAGTAATATAGTTAAAACATAAACAGTAGTGGTGTAGTAATAAAGGAAAAACACAAACAGTCGTAGTGTAAATAAAACACAAACAGTAGTAGAGTAGATAAAACACAAACAGAAGAAGAGTAGGTAAAACACGAACAGTAGTAGTGTAGGTATCACACAAACAATAGTAGTGTAGGTAAAAAACAAACAGTAGTAGTGTAGGTCAAATACAAACAATAGTAGTGTAGGGAAAACACGAACAGTAGTAGGGTAGGGAAAACACAAACAATAGTAGTATAGGTAAAGAACAAACAATAGTAGTATAAGTAAAACACAAACAATAGTTGTGTAGGTAATACAAACAGTAGTAGTGTAGATAAACCCCAAACAGTAGTAGTGTAGGAAAAACACAAACAGTAGTAGCGGAGGTAAAACACAAACGGGAGTAGTGTAGGTCAAATACAAACAATAGTAGTGTAGGGAAAACACAAACAATAGTAGTGTCGGTAAAACACAAACAGTAGTAGTTTAGGTAAAACACAAACAGTAATAGTGTAGGTAAAACACAAATAGTAGGAGTGTCGGTAAAACACAAACAGAAGTAGTATAGGTAAAACACAAACAGTAATAGTGTAGGTAAAACACAAGCAGTAGTAGTGTAGGTAAAACACAAACAATAGTAGTATAGGTAAAGCACAAACAATAGTAGTATAAGTAAAACACAAACAATAGTAGTGTAGGTAAAACACAAACAGTAGTAGTATAGGCAAAACACAAACAATAGTAGTGTAGGAAAAACACAAACAATAGTAGTATAGGCAAAACACAAACAGTAGTAATGTAGGTAAAACACAGACAATAGTAGTAAAGATAAAACACAAACAGTAGTGGTGTAGGTAAAACACAAACAATAGTTGTGTAGGTAACACAAACAGTAGTAGTGTAGGAAAAACACAAACAATAGTAGTATAAGTAAAACACAAACAATAGTAGTAAAGATAAAACACAAACAGTAGTAGTGTAGATAAAACACAAACAGTAGTAGTGTAGATAAAACACAAACAGTAGTAGTATAGGGAAAACACAAACAATAGTAGTGAAGGTAAAACACAAACAATAGTAGTATAAGTAAAACACAAACAATAGTAGTGTAGGAAAAACACAAACAATAGTAGTATAAGTAAAACACAAACAATAGTAGTGAAGGTAAAACACAAACAGTAGTAGATAGTAGATACGTAATACATAAACAGTGTAGGTAAAACACAAACAGTTGTAGTGTAGGTAAAAAAAAACCAATAGTAGTTTAGGTAAAACACAAACAGAAGTAAAACACAAACAGTAGTAGTATAGGCAAAACACAAACAATAGTAGTGTAGGAAAAACACAAACAATAGTAGTATAGATAAAACACAAACAGTAGTAGTATAGGCAAAACACAAACAGTAGTAATGTAGGTAAAACACAGACAATAGTAGTAAAGATAAAACACAAACAGTAGTAGTATAGGGAAAACACAAACAATAGTAGTGAAGGTAAAACACAAACAATAGTAGTATAGGTAAAGCACAAACAATAGTAGTATAAGTAAAACACAAACAATAGTAGTGAAGGTAAAACACAAACAATAGTAGTAAAAGGAAAACACAAACAGTAGTAATGTAGGTAAAACACAGACAATAGTAGTAAAGATAAAACACAAACAGTAGTAGTGTCGGTAAAACACAAACAGTAGTAGTATAGGGAAAACACAAACAATAGTAGTGAAGGTAAAACACAAACAGTAGTATTGTAGGTAAAACACAAACAGTAGAAGTATAGATAAAACACAAACAATAGTAGTGTCGGTAACACAAACAGTAGTAGTATAGGGAAAACACAAACAATAGTAGTGAAGGTAAAACACAAACAGTAGTAGTATAGGCAAAACACAAACAATAGTAGTGTAGGAAAAACACAAACAGTAGTAGTGTAGGTATCACACAAACAGTAGTAGTGTAGGTATCACACAAACAGTAGTAGTGTAGGTAACACACAAACAGTAGTAGTGTAGGTTAAACACAAACAGTAGTAGTGTAGATAAAACACAAACAGAAGTAGTGTAGGTGAAACACAAAAAGTAGTAGTGTCGGTAAAACACAAACAGTAGTAGTGGAGGTAAAACACAAACAGAAGTAGTATAGGTAAAACACAAACATTAGTAGTGTAGGTAAAACACAACCATTGGTAGTGTAGGTAAAACACAAACAGTAGAAGTATAGATAAAACACAAACAATAGTAGTGTAGGAAAAACACAAACAGTAGTAGTGTCGGTCAAACACAAACAGAAGTAGTGTAGGTACAACACAAACAGAAGTAGTGTAGGTACAACACAAACAGAAGTAGTGTAGGTACAACACAAACAGAAGTAGTGTAGGTGAAACACAAAAAGTAGTAGTGTCGGTAAAACACAAACAGTAGTAGTATAGGGAAAACACAAACAATAGTAGTGAAGGTAAAACACAAACAGTAGTAGATAGTAGATACGTAATACATAAACAGTGTAGGTAAAACACAAACAGTTGTATTGTAGGTAAAACACAAACAATAGTAGTATAGGTAAAACACAAACAGTAGTAATGTAGGTAAAACACAAACAATAGTAGTGTAGGTAAAACACAAACAGTAGTAGTATAGGTAAAACACAAACAATAGTAGTGTAGGTAAACAGAAACAGAAGTAGTGTAGGTAAAACACAAACAGTAGTAGTATAGGTAAAACACAAACAGTAGTAGTGTAGTAGTGTAGGTAAAACACAAACAGAAGTAGTATAGGTAAAACACAAACAGTAGTAGTGTAGGTAAAAAACAAACAGTAGTAGTGTAGGTAAAACACAAACAGTTGTAGTGTAGGTAAAAAAAACCCAATAGTAGTTTAGGTAAAACACAAACAGTAGTAGTGTAGGTAAAACACAAACAGTTGTATTGTAGGTAAAACACAAACAGTGGTAGTATAGGTAAAACACAAACAGTAGTAAGTAGTGTAGGTAAAACACAAACAGTAGTAGTGTAGGTAAAACACAAACAGTGGCAGTATAGGTAAAACACAAACAGTAGTAGTGTAGTTAAAACACAAACAGTAGTAATGTAGGTAAAACAAAAAAAGTAGTAGTGTAGGTAAAACACAACCAGTAGTAGTGTAGGTAAAACACGAACAGTAGTAGTGTAGGTAAAAAAAAAACAATAGTAGTGTAGGTAAAACACAAACAGTAGTAGTGTAGGTAAAACACAAACAGTTGTATTGTAGGTAAAACACAAACAGTAGTAGTATAGATAAAACACAAACAGTAGTAGTGTAGATAAAACACAAACAGAAGTAGTGTAGGTAAAACACAAACAATAGTAGTGTAGGTAAAACACAAACAGTAGTAGTGTAGGTAAAACACAAACAGAAGTAGTATAGGTAAAACACAAACAGTAGTATTGTAGGTAAAACACAAACAGAAGTAGTGTAGGTAAAACACAAACAATAGTAGTGTAGGTAAAACACAAACAGTAGTAGATAGTAGATACGTAATACATAAACAGTTGTATATGTTAGGGTGTGAAATTGTGAAAAATAGAGACAAACTCAAACGCAATTTTTTATTATCTTTTGGAACATTTAAAACGATATGTATTTTCATTTTAACTATTTAAGTATACACTTTTTATAGGCCCTTGGTTCAAAGAAATTATTACTGATTTCAAATGATAACTAATGTCTACCTGTAATACGCCTCAGAAACCAAATTTCATTCTGGATAAATTTGAACCATATCAATATTGTTTCATGTTTTTTTATTACCTTATAATAATTGGCTTCATGTTGACCTTAAGCTAGTGATATGAATACCCAGACAAGTAACTTTGAATAGGAATATCTATCATTGATGTATTATAAGCTTTAAGCTATCTGACATTCATCATGGTACAAATTTATGTAATATTTTATCGCTAGTGACACTTGCTACACCCAGCAACATTGACACCTATCATGGAATAAATAAAAGTATGAATTATGAAAAGGTTTTTTTTACACAACCAATCACATTTTCGATGTGACTATTACGATATGTACACTGTCACCTTCATCAGACAAATGACCAATGAAGCGTATGCACACAAAGGTGGAAAATGTGTTGGAGTCATCCACAAAATCGATGTCGATTTGGCTACGCTGTAAGCGTATGTACAATAGTTATGTATGTACCGAAATGACTCGATTCAGCTATGATTTGTTAAATAAAAAAAATGCTGAATCGAGTCATTTATGTACATATACAACAACTATTGTACATACGCTTACAACGTAGCCGAATCGACATCATTTTTTTGTGGATTAACATATAAGCCGTAATCGGGTCAAGATGGAGTTATTTTTTGACACAAAGTGATAGCTTTATCGTCTCTCTAAGGAAATGAATAATACTATCGACACTTCTGGTTTACACATTCTTTGTTAAGTTAAGTTAAGTTGTTTTTCTTTATTTTTATCATGTTTCTCATTCCAAACGATATACTTGAAAACCTCTTTGAATCATAAAGGTTGTATTGATGTTCTTCACGTTGATAAAAAGGAAAAACCAGTATATTCTTTCTTAGTTGTTGTCAGGGTGGGCAGGTGAAGTTGACGTTAGTTTATCTACCATCTAACATATCATCCAAACTGGACAATACAAACGGAATAAACTGAATTATCATACAATTTTTTTTTTTTGTACAAATAGAGCGCGTGATGTGGTGTTAGGCGGTACTAGCCAAGTGGGAGACTGGAACACACAAGTAAACGGTGCTGACCGTGATAGTATTTGGAACGGTTGCTGTAAACTTCTACCGAGCTTAAAGGTACAAAACGAGTTACACATTTAATTTCTTTATCCGCAGTAACATTGTTGTGTTGCTTTAGGGATTTACGTTGCATTGTATTCATTATTGGTGTCTCCAATCCTGATATTTTGATTATCCTATCGATTCAACAATTTTGCTCCTGTTTGTTGACGCACTTTTTTTACATGCAGAATGCAAAGATACTTGATGAGTGGGTTGGTTTGCGTCCACAGAGAACAAAAATAAGAGTGGAGCTTGAGAGGAGACAGATTAGCAAAGAGAGAATGTCCGTGGTAAGTGTAAAATGTTTCTAAGATAAATTATATAATTTTTTGGACGGGGTTCCTGAGGGCAGCACATCCTTTAATGCATGTCGTAAATCACAGAGCTCGTTACATCACTATTTTATGCATCAAACAAAATACAAGGGCGAATTCGTGAACTGAACAATGTTAGCAATATGTACATGTTACAACTAGAAATGCGTTAATATGAAAATCGTTATAAATCGCTGAATAAAACGCCGTTATAAAAATAATTACGAGTGAAGAGTTTTGTTAAAAGTCCATGATATTGTAGCGTTAATCATAGAATATTGGGTAGAGAAAACTCACAAATACGTAGTCAGGATTGTCTACAATAATGGATTCAATCTGCTCTGAAGAAATCATATTAAGGGCCTGTATTCATGAAACTGTTCTCATGCTCAAGCATGAATTCTGTGCTCGAGCCAACTTTCTTGTAATTCGCTTAAATCATGTAACAACAATAAAAAATAAGATGTAAACATTTGAAATAGTATTCGGTTTGAAGTTTTTCAACATTTCTAACATAACTTTCACAAAGATATATTTTTATAAACTTATCACTGGCACAGAGAATTGGGCTTTAGCACAGAATCGGGGTTTGAGCAAAAGAACGGTTTCATGAATACGGGCCCTGCTTTCTACGAATTGGATTTCGGTTTCTATCATGATTAAATACTTTGTCTGTTCGTTGGTGGCCGAAACAACTTCCCACACTTCCAGTAATGTGACCTAGCGGAATGCTGTGCTGTGTGCCTTCGGCATGGTATTTCAGTGAGATAGCACTATAAAGTTGGCGTCAGCTCCGCGCTATCACAAGGAGGCAAGCACTCCAACCTGTCTCCGGCATACACACACGCAAGCACGCATACATTAAACTCATGGAGGCACGTCCTTAAATGACCTTAGTTGTTAATATGACGTTAAACAAAATTAAACCAAACCAAACCCCATTTTTGTGGACATTTGTAATGGTATACCTTTGTTTTAAGATTGTCTCATTTCCTGTCTCCGTCTTTCGTAGCGATTTTGAATTTCATCATTGATGTTTGTAGGATGACGCTTTAATATTTTTAAAAATCAATTTGTAGAATTTTGTTTATATTTATAGATTGTCCACAACTACGGACACGGTGGATCAGGTGTCACGCTCCACTGGGGGTGTGCACAAGAGGCCACACGGTTGGTGACGCATGCGCTACAACATCTTGTGCCAAAATCAAGTTTGTAACACAGTGTTCTATCTGAGAATAGCATACCCCGGTCAGTTGGTATTGTGAATGAAAAGATGAAGTACCTTTACTTTTCAGAATTGGAGAGAAAATAAACATTGGAATATTAGACATTATATTGTACATACAATGATTTTGACGTGATTTGAGTTCATTTTGTCGTGGTGTCAGACTGTGAAATATAACGGTACGACTGAAAAAAAGTTATATATATATATAACAATTTAGTTAACAAGGCCTGTAATAGAGGTTTTCTATTACACAAAACGATAAAATATATGTTGTCATATGCATGATCTCATAACTACAAAAGAAAATGGAATTCAAACAATTTATCTTCCAAATAGAACATAAATATAGGATTTCAATAATACAATTATAACACCAGGGCCCGTATTCATGATCCGTTCTCATGCTCAAACTCCGATCCTGTACTCAAGCCCCATTTAATATTCAGATGATAAACTTATAAAGAATTCACCTTTTGACAATGAGTTGGAAGAGATTTACTGAGACTTGCAGTCAAATACCATTTTCAGTATTTACAACTTATATGGAGTTACAAGAAAGTTGGTTTGAGCCTGAGCATGAGAACGGTGTCATGAGTACGGGCCCTGAGGTATTTAATTGATGTATATCAGTACATCTCAAACATATAGCAAGACCGGTTGCAGTTCACGTATGAACTTCAATACATGTAACAAAATTGACAAAGTTTTGAAAAAATCTAATTCAAGTAAACCGTATTAGATACAGCGGAGACATTTTCGTTGATCGCATAGGTGAAAAATAGTGTAATATTTAATGAGACAAAATGTAATTGATGAAAGTTAACCCAGTTTTAAAACAAAATATGTTTCTTCAAAATATTAATAATTTATCAAATTGTGTGCTTTTTAGTAGAGTGATGTACCATTACTTGTACAATATTTAAATATCTTTCATGCAACTGAATCTATTAAGTGTAAAGAAAATAATAACGGATTATATTTCCCTGCAACTAGCACTTACGGTTCTTGTCATCAGAAAGTTAAATACACTCAGAATAAAATAAGATAAATATCATTAATAAAGAAACCTGTCAAAGGATAACGTGAAACTGCTCTTAACAAAATAACCGATTGACTGTCATACTATATGGCTATTTTTGTCAGTGGACTTGAGAAAATTAAAAGAGGTTCAGATCTGTTTAAGTCAACATATCATCAGACAAAGATGCAATTTTTTTTAAATAGACTGATGGCTAGTCAAACCAAAGACTACTGAAACCAGTTAAAGGGAAAATGTATACATAGGGACCTGAAGATGTAGGTCTGGTTTATACAGGTTTACATATAAATGTATACAGTGGGACCTGAAGATTTAGATCTGGTTTATACAGAGTTGTAGATCTGGTTTATACAGGCTTACTTAGAAATGTATACAGTTGGACCTGTAGATTTAGATCTGGTTTATACAGGTTAACATATAAATGTATACAGTGGGACCTACATGTAGGTCTGGTTTATACAGGTTAGATGTAGATCTGGTTTATACAGGGTTACATATAAATGTATACAGTTGGACCTAGATGTAGATCTGGTTTACACAGGTTTACATATAAATGTACACAGTGGGACCTAGATGTAGATCTGGGGTATACAGGTTTACATAGAAATGTTTACAGTGGGACCTGAATATGTAGATCTGGTTTATACAGTTTTACATATAAATGTATACAGTGTGACCTAGATGTAGGTCTGGTTAATACAGGTTTACATAGAAATATATACAGTGGGACCTAGATGTAGGTGTGGTTTATACAGGTTTACATATGATGTATACAGTGGGACCTGAAGATGTAGGTCAGGTTTATACAGGTTTACATAGAAACGTATACAGTGGGACCTAGATGTAGATCTCGTTTATACAGGTTTACATATAAATATGTACAGTGGGACCTGAAGATGTAGAACTGGTTTATACAGGTTTACATGGAAATGTATACAGTGGGACCTATATGTAGGTCTGGTTTATACAGGTTTCCATAGAAATGTATACAGTTGGACCTGTAGATTTAGATCTGGTTTATACAGGCTTACATAGAAATGTATACAGTGGAACCTAGATATAGGTCTGGTTTATACAGGTTTCCATAGAAATGTATACAGTTGGACCTGTAGATTTAGATCTGGTTTATACAGGCTTACATATAAATGTATACAGTGGTCCCTAGATGTAGATCTGGTTTACACAGGTTTACATATAAATGTATACAGAGGGACCTAGATGTAGGTCTGGTTAATACAGGTTTACATAGAAATATATACAGTGGGACCTAGATGTAGATCTGGCTTATACAGGTTTACATAGAAACGTATACAGTGGGACCTAGATATAGATGGCTAGTCAAACCAAAGACTACTGAAACCAGTTAAAGGGAAAATGGATACATAGGGACCTGAAGATGTAGGTCTGGTTTTACAGGTTTACATAGAAATGTTTACAGTGGGACCTGAATATGTAGATCTGGTTTATACAGGTTGACATATAAATGTATACAGTGGGACCTAGATGCAGGTCTGGTTTATACAGGTTTCCATAGAAATGTATACAGTTGGACCTGAAGATGTAGATCTGGATTATACAGGTTTACATATAAATGTACACAGTGGGACCTAGATGTAGATCTGGCTTATACAGGTTTACATAGAAACGTATACAGTGGGACCTAGATGTAGATCTGGCTTATACAGGTTTACATAGAAACGTATACAGTGGGACCTAGATATAGATGGCTAGTCAAACCAAAGACTACTGAAACCAGTTAAAGGGAAAATGGATACATAGGGACCTGAAGATGTAGGTCTGGTTTTACAGGTTTACATAGAAATGTTTACAGTGGGACCTGAATATGTAGATCTGGTTTATACAGGCTTACTTAGAAATGTATACAGTTGGACCTGTAGATTTAGATCTGGTTTATACAGGCTTACTTAGAAATGTATACAGTTGGACCTGTAGATTTAGATCTGGTTTATACAGGCTTACATATAAATGTATACAGTGGGACCTACATGTAGGTCTGGTTTATACAGGTGTATACAGTGGGACCTAGATGTAGGTGTGGTTTATACAGGTTTACATAGAAACGTATACAGTGGGACCTAGATATAGATGGCTAGTCAAACCAAAGACTACTGAAACCAGTTAAAGGGAAGATGTATACATAGGGACCTGAAGATGTCGGTCTGGTTTATACAGGTTTACACAGAAATGTATACAGTGGGACCTGAAGATTTAGATCTGGTTTATACAGGTTAACATATAAATGTATACAGGGGGACCTAGATGTAGGTCTGGTTTATACAGGTTTCCATAGAAATGTATACAGTTGGACCTGAAGATGTAGATCTGGTTAATACAGGTTAACATATAAATGTATACAGTGGTTTCTAGATGTAGATCTGGTTTATACCGATTTACATAGAAATGTATATAGTTGGAACTGAAGATTTAGATCTGGTTTATACAGGCTTACATAGAAATGTATACAGTTGGACCTGTAGATTTAGATCTGGTTTATACAGGTTAACATATAAATGTATACAGTGGGACATGAAGATGTAGATCTGGTTTATACCGATTTACATAGAAATGTATATAGTTGGAACTGAAGATTTAGATCTGGTTTATACAGAGTTGTAGATCTGGTTTATACAGGCTTACATAGAAATGTATACAGTTGGACCTTAAGATGTAGATCTGGTTTATAGAGGTTTACATAGAAATGTATAAAGTGGGACCTAGTTGTAGATCTGGGTTATACAGGTTTACTTAGAAATGTATACAGTTGGACCTGTAGATTTAGATCTGGTTTATACCGGTTTACATAGAAATGTATACAGAGGGACCTAGTTGTAGATCTGGTTTATACAGGCTTACATATAAATGTATACAGTGGAACCTGAAGATGTTTATACAGGTTTACATATGATGTATACAGTGGGACCTGAAGATGTAGGTCAGGTTTATACAGGTTTACATATGATGTATACAGTGGGACCTGAAGATGTAGATCTGGATTATAGAGGGTTACATATAAATGTATACAGTGGGACATGAAGATGTAGATCTGGTTTATTCAGGTTTACATAGAAATGTATGCAGTGGGACCTGAAGATGTAGGTCAGGTTTATACAGGTTTACATAGAAATGTATACAGTGGGACCTAGTTGTAGATCTGGTTTATACAGGTTTACTTAGAAATGTATACAGTTGGACCTGAAGATTTAGATCTGGTTTATACCGGTTTACATAGAAATGTATACAGTGGGGCCTGAAGATTTATATCTGGTTTATACAGGTTTACATAGAAATGTATACAGTGGGACCTGAAGATGTAGGTCTGGTTTATACAGGTTTACATAGAAATGTATACTGTTGGACCTGAAGATGTAGTTCTGGTTTATACAGATTTACATAGAAATGTATACAGTGGGACCTGAAGATGTAGATCTGGTTTATACAGGTTTACATAGAAATGTATACAGTTGGACCTGAAGATGTAGTTCTGGTTTATAAAGGTTAACATATAAATGTATACAGTGGGACCTGAAGATGAAGATCTGGTTTATACAGGTTTACATATAAATGTATACAGTGGGACAAATATGTACAGTTGGACCTGAAGATGTAGGTCTGGTTTTTACAGGTTAACATATAAATGTATACAATGGGACCTATATGTAGGTCTGGTTTATACAGGCTTACATAGTAATGTATACAGTGGGGCCTGAATATGTAGATCTGGTTTTTACAGGTTTACATATAAATACAGGTTTACATAAAAATGTATACAGTGGGACAAATATGTACAGTTGGACCTGAAGATGAAGATCTGGTTTACACAGGTTTACATATAAATGTATACAGTGGGAACTGAAGATGTAGATCTGTTTTATACAGGTTTACGTAGAAATGTATACAGTAGGACCTGAAGATGTACCTCTGGTTTATAAAGGTTATCATATAAATGTATACAATGGGACCTAGATGTAGGGCTGGTTTATACAGGTTCACATATAAATGTATAAAGTGGGACATGAAGATGTAGATCTGGTTTATACAGGCTTACATAGTAATGTATACAGTGGGACCTGAAGATGTAGATCTGGTTTATACAGGTTAACATATAAATGTATACAATGGGACCTAGATGTAGGTCTGGTTTATACAGGTTTACATAGAAATGTATACAGTGGGACCTGAAGATGTAGATCTGGTTTATACAGGTTAACATATAAATGTATACAATGGGATCTAGATGTAGGTCTGGTTTATACAGGTTTACATATAAATGTATACAGTGGGACCTAGATGTAGTTCTGGTTTAAACAGGTTTACATATAAATGTATACAGTGGGACCTAGATGTAGGTCTGGTTTATACAGGTTTACATATAAATGTATACAGTGGGACCTAGATGTTGGTCTGCTTTATACAGGTTTACATAGAAATGTATACAGTGGGACCTGAAGATGTAGTTCTGGTTTATACAGGTTTACATATAAATGTATACAGTGGGCCCTAGATGTAGTTCTGGTTTAAACAGGTTTACATATAAATGTATACAGTGGGACCTAGATGTAGGTCTGGTTTATACATGTTTACATAGAAATGTTTACAGTGGGGCCTGAAGATTTAGATCTGGTTTATACAGGTTTACATAGAAATGTATACAGTGGGACCTTGTTGTAGGTCTGGTTTATACAGGTTCACATAGAAATGTATACAGTGGGACCTAGTTGTAGATCTGGTTTATACAGGTTTACATAGAAATGTATACAGTTGGACCTGAAGATTTAGATCTGGTTTATACAGGTTTACATAGAAATGTATACAGTGGGGCCTGAATATGTAGATCTGGTTTATACCGATTTACATAGAAATGTATATAGTTGGAACTGAAGATTTAGATCTGGTTTATACAGGTTTACATAGAAATGTATACAGTGGGACCTGAAGATGTAGGTCTGGTTTATACAGATTTACATAGAAATGTATACTGTTGGACCTGAAGATGTAGTTCTGGTTTATACAGGTTTACATAGAAATGTATACAGTGGGACCTGAAGATGTAGGTCTGGTTTATACAGGTTTACATAGAAATGTATACAGTTGGACCTGAAGATGTAGTTCTGATTTATACAGGTTATCATATAAATGTATACAGTGGGACCTGAAGATGAAGATCTGGTTTATACAAGTTTACATATAAATATGTACAGTGGGACCTGAAGATGTAGATC